GAGGAGAGACTAGAGAACCTGGACCTTTTCAGCCTCCGCAAGAGAAGGTTGAGAGGCGACCTTGTGGCTGCCTATAAGTTCATCACGGGGGCGCAGAAGGGAATTGGGGAGGTTTTATTCACCAAGGCGCCCCCGGGGGTTACAAGAAATAATGGCCACAAGCTAGCAGAGAGCAGATTTAGACTGGACATTAGGAAGAACTTCTTCACAGTTCGAGTGGGCAAGGTCTGGAACGGGCTCCCGAGGGAGGTGGTGCTCTCCCCTACCCTGGGGGTCTCTTTCCTGCCTATGCAGGGGGTCGGACTCGATGATCTATTGAGGTCCCTTCCGACCCTAGCATCTATGAATCTGTGAATCTATGAATCTGTGGCTGTTCTGTGAAGTTTGTCTATAGCATCGGGAATTGCCCGAAGCGCCGCTATGTGCTGCTTCAGACTGTCCCACATCACCAGCAGCCTCTCCATCACTACTACAGCAATGCTTCTCCGTACTAATTTGCTAAGGAAGAAGAGAGAAAAAGGGGTTATTATTTCATAGGTCTAAATTGTTGGCTCCTGTATGATCCCATAATGCTTCTATCGCTTCCTGCTGGGATCCCACCATGCGCCCAGCGTCTTGCACGGGAGCTGTGTCCTCGTTGTCCGAGGGTGTCCTTGGGTCACCACCCCGAGCTTGGCTTAGGCCCATGGACACGGCCAGGCTGGAGCAGAGTGATGGTGGGACATTGGGCCCGGGCAGCCTGCCTCTTCTAGGGGCGGGGGACACATCCATGTTCTCCCGCCCTGGTGGGGGGTCGGGCTGGAAGATCTATTAGGTCCCTTCCGACCCTAAAACTATGAAACTATGAAACTATGAAACATGCGGCAGGATGGGGAAAGTCCCCCGAGGAGATAGCGGCAGCGTGCCCCACAGTGGGGCGGTGGGGAGCTTCTTCCCCCTCCCAGGCCATGAGCCCTGCCCTGTCCTGAACCCACAGGAGGGTTTCCCCCTACAATACTGTGTCCATCTCCCGTAGCCGAGTGTGTGGACATGCCCATCCTCCTCATGGCCAGGGAAAAACTACACTGGGCTGGGGCCAGGGCTGCAGCCCACATCAGTGGCTCATAGAATCAGAGACATCATGGGAGAGACGTGCCTGGAGGCTGATGCCAATATCTGAACTGCGTCAGGCCCAGATGTGATAGTGGTGGGGAAGGGGCGGCCGTGCAGGCATGCTGCTGCCTGGTGTTTAAGCTGGGTTCGTCCCCCCTTTGACCGGTCCCCTGACATGGAAAGAAGAGGGCACGTCCTGCAAGGGCGCTGGGGCCTGCAGGTGCTGGGTCTCTCAGGGAAACCCCCGCTCACGCGCATTCCCTGGGGACGGACGTTACTCACCTCCCGTTGTTCGGACACATGAAGAGCTCGTCGGGCACGGCGCTCTCGCAGATGGAGCTCCTCGCCGTCTCCCCGCAGCAGGAGCATCGTCCCCGCTTGTAGCCTCCCCGGTGCCTCGGGGTCCATTCAAAGTCATACTCCACGTTGTTGGCATTTAGCACCGCAGTCACCAGAGGAAGAAATTTTGGACTATCTGGGTCTGTCGAGTTGTTTTTCACCATCACTCCCCTGCAGGTAACATAGAAGCTAAATGGCTCGTAGGTGATGTCGCACGTGCCCAGGAAGTGCGAGGCCTCGTGGATTAAAGTCCCCGGCTGGGAAACTTTATCGAGGTGACTCGGAGCCTCCCAGAAGAGCGGGCACAAATAAATGGTTTTGTCTCCAGATTCAGTATAAACATATGCATACAACTGCTGTGCGGAAGGGTCCCCCATGAACTTGGCTTTCTCTAGCACCGAGATGAGGTTTCTCACCCGCTGCTCCGTCAGGACGGCGTACCTCTCCATCCACAACATGGGCTCTTCAGAGTCGCGAGAAATCAGGTCCTGGGGCATCTCCATGAGCACACGGTCCTTCTTCACGGCGTCTCTCAGGATGTCCAGCGCGCTCTGCTTTGCTGCTTCTGCGATTCTCGCCTTGTCCTCGGCCAGCGGGATGTGACTTTCACCATCTCTTTCAGAAATGTGGCATTTCCTTTGGTTTTCTTCCTTGCCGCACACAATGGCTTCCCGGGAGCTCATCTCTGTGTGGACGCCTTCTGCACGCTTCAGCCCCAAGCAGCTTTCCAGCACAGCCCTGCAGAAGCACACGCAGTGTTTGACTTGCATTACTGCCCCTTCCCGCCGCAGCTCCCCGCGCCCTCCCCCGGCTGCACGGCGGCACTTAAAATGCCTTCAGGTCTGGTAACGGGTCCCCTCGGCAGGCTGGGCTGCTGGGGAAGGAAGTTGCAGGGGCGCCTAAGGGAATAGGGCAGAGAGATGGTGTCCTTTGGGCTGAGGCGCCTTGTAACAGCTGAAAATCGTGTCTGTGTGATGAAGGTGCTTGCTGAATGCTGTGTGAAGATTAGACCAAGTGCTTCTTGTTGTTCGTTCACATATTGTGAGCTGTATGTTGCCACTAATAGCTTAATTAAAGTAAAAGATTAGTGAGGCCTTGTATGTCGTGAGGCCTTGTAAGATTAGTAAGGCCTTAAAAGTAGTACGGCCTTGTAAGCAGTGGCCCAGTTCAAAGTAACCTTCTCAGAAAAATGCAAAGGCTTGTACTGCTATTGGTCAGACATAGGGGAAGTTCGTAGTGTGAGTGGCTGTGAGTCAACAGCATAGCTCAGAAGTTGTAAATTAGCTAGCACATCCGGAAATGAGCAGAAGGAAGACGCAGCATTGTAAGAGAAGCTACTAATTTAGAAATTAGCCGCTGACCTGGATTCGGTGAGCCAGTAGATCTCGAGGAGCCCAAGGACTGAATACCAGGGTCCTTCCTGGTACCCCTCGGACAGCGCAGATCAAGGACGCTGGACTTTGCTGAGATTTATAGAAGAGGAATTGTCGTATATCAGCTATCAGAGGGGATTGCCAATAAGTTGCCAACGTGAATTGTTATTGTCTGTCATCGTTGTCTTGTTACTACACATAGTTGTGTTATTTCTCACCACCCTCTCAATCCCGAACCCTCCGCTGCCAGCTAGGACAGCACCTCTTGCTAGCCCCTGGGACATGGGTGCTGCTGGGAGGGGGCATGACGGGGTCCAAGCTGGCTGTGACGAGGTGGCCTGGTCTCCCTGGGGCGACCTGTGGAGGACATGCTCTGTCCTCCTCCCCGCTGAGGGTGCTGGGACGTGGCTGCCTTTCCTGTGGTGGGTCTTAGGCCTCCTGCCCATCTCTTACATCTCCCTTTAGCATTCCCCCTTGCTGGCAAAGACCCGGCGCAGTCATCACAAGTGCGGGCCCTGGGACTGATTCTGGGGATGCCTGGGAGGGTGGGCTGGTGCGAGCTAGGAAAGCAGGGGCTGCATTTACATCTCAAAGCAGGACCCGAGAGGGGCAGAGACTGGAGCACCGAGAGGGGCCAGAGGTGCTGGTTGCAGCCGTGTTGGTCCAAGGACACAGGCAGACAAGGCTCTCTGGGTAAATCTGGTATCTTTTATTAGACCTGCAGATGCTCCCTCTGCCTGAAGAGGGGTGTCTGTAGCTGAAAGCTTGCAAAGAAGAATTTTTCCAGCTATTTTCATAGATTGTCAGGGGCTGGACGGGACCTGGGAAGATCATGGGGTCCAGCCCCCTGCACCAGGCAGGAAAGAGAATGGGGTCCGCTGACCCCAGCGAGGCGACCGTCCTGTCTCCTCTTGGAGATTTCCATGTCGGTGACTGCACCAGCTCTGCAGGGAGCTTATTCCAGTCGGGACACCCTGACTGTGAAGAAGTTTTTCCTAATGTTGAGCCTGAATCGGTCTTCAGTGGGTTTATTAATTTTATTGGATCTAATAAATTATATCAGACTTCCATGCCCCATGCCTGAGCTTCTCTCTCGTCCCCTCCCTGCAGAGTCCCCCACCCCGACTCGCCCAAAATCTGTTCTCACGTCCGTGACTTCCCTTTGCAAACATGACTGCTGCAGCTCGGCGCTCAGCGCTCTGCTCCACAGCGCAGTACTGGGGACCGCGAGCCAGAAGTGCACAGAGGTGCTGGACTGAGCCCGGGATTGCCGTGGTCCTGGGCCCGGACTGGCATGGAGATGGTACCTCTGCCTACGTGGCTCCTTCTGTGCTGGGGCCCGCCCTGCCCTGGTGCACGGGCGTTGCTGGGGTTTTCCTGGGAGCTTTCGCTTTCTGAATCCTGAAAGAGCAATAAAGTCTGGAGTTTGGTCAGCTGTGTGGTGGGAAAGGGCCTGTCTGGTGCTGGGAGTGCCCACTACACTACAGCCGCAGTGAAAGGTGCTGGGAGGCCAGGCTGCTGGGCAGGGGCTTGCTGGGCGGTGATGGTGATCAGCTGGAGGTGGGGGCGCTGGTCCGGGTAGGTGCGAAACAGTGCCTGGGGCTGGGGCCTGGTGCAGCCATGGTATGTACTGGGCATGCTTACCCCGGTACCCAAGTGCCCACAACCTTGAGCACACCGCTGTTTGCTGCAGCCTTGAGGGCAGGTCATGCGGGACCCACAGGACCTGAGGGCTTGAGCCCAGCACCTGCCCAAAGTCCCTGTGGAGTCTGTAGCTGGGGATCAGCATACAGGGACCAATCCTGCCTGCTGGTGTGGCCACTGGTGCAGCTGGATGCCAGGTTGCACCTCTAGCACTGCTCTGCTGGCCAGGCTGGCGCCCACTACCAGCACACGTGTCCCAGGGACGGCTGGCTGGGCATCCCCCTGTGCCATGTTGGTGTGCAGGTGTGTCTCCAGGCCTGTGCCATGCTCCTGTGGTTGGCACCTGGGTTCCTGTCACCAATGCAGATGCCCCTACCCCCTGCCCTGCAGCCGGGACCTGCCCAAGCCCTGCTGGCTCATACCAGGCCCCGCGGTGCTCACAGAATCAGGCATTCATAGGACATGAGGGTGGAAGGGAGCTCAGGAGGTCACATCCAGTCCAACCCCCTGCTCCAGGCAGGACCAAGGCTTTGCCTACCCGGGTCTTAAACACCTCCAAGGATGGAGACACCGCCACCTCTCTGGGTAACCCGATCCAGTGCTTCACCACCCTCCTCATGAGAAAGTTTTTCCTAATATCCAACCTCAACTTTCCTTTCTGCAGCTTGAGCCCATTGCTCCTTGTCCCGTCATCTGCCCCCACTGAGAACGGTCCAGCTCCATCCTCTTCGGGACCACCCTGCGGGGAGGTGAAGGCTGCTATTCTGCAGACTAAATCCACCCAGTTCCCTCAGCCTTTCCTCACAAGTTGTGTCCCCTGCCCACCCCCACCAGGGATATTCATTACCCTCTGTTGGACACTCTCCATTTTCCCCACATGCTTTCTGTAGTGGGCGCCCAAAATTGAACACAGGACTCCAGATGTGGCCTCCTCAGTACCAAATCACTTGTCTTGCCCTGCTGGCAGCGCTCCTACCAGTGCAGCCCAGTATCAAGTAGCCTTCTCGGCAAGAAGGACGCACTGCTGGCATCAAGCCATTAATGACCACAATGCTCCAGCCAGTTTTCTATCCCCCTTACAGTCCATTCATCCAGCCTGTACTTCTTTAGCTTGCCTGCGACCATGCAGTGGCAGACAGTATCAAAAGCCTTGCTAAAATCGGGGTACACCACAGCAACCAGTCTCCCCACAGCCACAGAGCCAGTCACGTCATCACAGAAGGCACCAGGTTTGCCAGGCATGACTTGTCTCTGGTATATCCCTGCCGATCACCTCCTGATCATGTTCTCTGAGTGGGTAGAAATGGATTCCTTGAGGATCTGCTCCATGATTTTTCCAGGGACTAAGGTGAGGCTGGCTGGTTCGTAGTTCCCTGGATCCCCCTTTCTCCCTTTCTTAAATATGGGCACTTTGTTGGCCCTTCAAGGAGGTGACAGATGTGTCCAAAAATAATGGGCCAGCACTGACAGGAGACCAGTTTTCTGGACTTTGCCAGAAGACCAATGCAGCCAGACATCAAATGTCGAGCTAGTTCCTAACTCGAGGGGAGGGCAACTCCGTGTATTAGTAGGTCAAGGATACAACTAGGGGATCCTGTCTTGGACCTTGTCTTGACCAACAGGCAAGAACTGGTGGAGGATGTGACGGTGACAGGTAAGTGGGAGGACGCGGTCACGATACACCAGAATTGCACATCCTGGGACAGGGAAAGCAGGAGGGAAAGCATACTAGACTTCACAAAGGCGGATTTCATCCGACTCAAGGGGTAATAGGGCTGGTGTCCTGGGAGCACAGACTGAAGGGTAAAGGAGTCTGGGAGGCCTGGGAGCTTCTAAGCCTGGAAGCCCAGCCACAAACTGTCCCAACACGATGGGAGCAAAGAAGAACGGCAGGAGACCAGTGCTGCTGCACCAGGGGCTTCCTGGACTCCTCATGCAGTGGGAACCAGCCCTGGGAGATGGGCCAGGGACCAGAGGATGGGAGAAAGGCCAGCGCAGCGCCACGGTCTAAGAAAGGCCGAAGGACCCAGGGAAGGACAGACCAGGTCGTTGCACTGTCGTACCTCGCCTCCACGCAGGGCAGGCCCTGGGCAAGGGTGTGCAGCGGGAAGGGCCGAGCGCAAGCAGCCAGGGTTTTTTATCATGGAGAGTCAGAGTCCCTGCCCCTCAGAAGGCAGGTCCAGGCCCTCACTCCCAGGCCCTGCTGGTGCCCCTCACCCCCAACCACAGCCCCCCGCCCCTCCAGGCCTGCCGCAGGGGACCTCCAGCTGCCACGGCGGGGGGGCCAGGGACCCAGGTCTGCAGCCCCCTGCCCCCCTGCAGCAGCGCCTGAGCCCCGGGTGCTGCCTGTGGGAGGTGGCGGCTGCTGCAACAGAGCAGAGCGCACAGCCCGGCTCCCTGCTCCGCAAGCTGCCCGCTGCGGCCTCAGGCTCCTGCCCTGCTGCCCTCCCCTGCGGTCTGCACAGCCTGGTAGGTGGGACCCGGTGCTGCGGGGCAGAGTGGGGCCAGGCAGGGAGGCTCCTTGGCGCTGTGAGGTCCGCGCTGCCCCAGGGAGGTGTCTCCTGCCCGTGAGGCAGCAGCAAGGACGGCAGTGTGGAGTTTAAGAAGTGGCTTGATGCCTACCTGGCTGGGGTCACTTGAGCCCAGTTTTCTCCTCCCCAGAAAGT